CTCTTGGCCAGTAAAGTAGAGTTACCTTATCTAAACAGCAATTTAGATTGAAGTGGATGTTATAAAAACAGAAATGAAAGAAAAAAAAAAAAAAGAAATGCTTTTCATCAGACTCACCCATGGTTTTAACCTAGTAGATCTACTATAATTTGGATAAATGGTCACAAAGGCCAAACCGGCCAGACCTCTGCTTTATGTCATAATCTTTGAACTAAGTCTGGAAAGTAGGTGGATTTACTATACATACTTGTTATCATTTTTTTATATTTCTGCTCATAAATACCACCCTAGCAGCATATCCAACAGAAACAAGTATAGCATGAAAAGAATAAGCTGAAACAAAATTAAATAAGTCAATGCTTTCAATGTTTGGGGTCGTCTTTACTGTGCTAAGACTTCATGTGCAGTAGGGCCAAGCCCTCTGCCCCTAAATGGGGACCTCAAAGCCTACTCTGGGATTCTGCAGTTCCCCTGCTCTACTTCCCACCCCTCAGCACACACCCTTCTGCTCTGCCTCCCAGACTCAGCACCAAGTCTCTGAGCTTCCGGAGTTTTGGTTCTGGGTATTGAGAAGGGAGTATTCCACTGGAGTTTATTCTCACACCTGGGCAGGTAGGGTCCCCATTTATTATGCCACTTCTATAGAAAAAGGCTGACCAGGGATTTATTTTTTAAAAATTAAAAAAAAAATAATCTTAACAAACAAGCTAGTATTAAATACACAGAATGATGCCAGGTGAACTGTCCAGGTATTCCATTGTTAGAGAAGAATGAAATCCAGTGGAGCACTACAAGCATCAGCACAGCGAGTAGAAGAAATGCAGGCGCTGGCAGACTGACTCCTGGCCATTTCCCTTCCTAGAGTTTGTGACCCTTAGTTTCCTAGTGATATCACAAACTGACGTTGTCTGAGAGTAAAAGATGATGCTATGTACGATGCCTGGCACAAAGCGAGAACTCAATAACTTGTAGCTGTTACTATTCACACTGTAGAAACTCAGTTAAGATTAGAGGATCACATCTTTTCTACTTTTCTAATTGACAAAGCAAAAGAATAATTCTAAAAACAAAAGTATTAATACTAGAAAACTGAAGTTGAAACTTACGAAAGAAAAGTCATTTGGAAACAAAAGTTACTTAAACATAATATATTAATACAAAGCACCAAAGACCCTATAGTAAATGATATTCAGCTGTTTAAACAAATACTGTGTTAGTAACTCTGAAGCTGGGTGAAAGTGTTGCAAGAGATAGGAAGAACTTGATGGAAGGTACTACTACCACCACACCTATTTTATGGATAAAGAAACCAAGTAGCTAGGTGATAAGTATTAAATGTTAACAGGTGGTAGAGATGAGGTTTTGATTAGAAAACTGCAGGCTTTTCCTAATTTACCTTCATACATATTCGATTATGTTAAATATTTACAGATTATTAAATATAATAGGTCTATGTCTTTAAAAAACAATATATCTAATAACTCTCTCTTTTGTGAGATCATTCCAAGATAAAAGAGGATACAGGGCAGCATCCTAGACTTTGGTCTGGCATGCACTGGAGAACAGGAAGTAAATAACCCTCTTGTGACCTGGTTTGTGACTGCGCACAGTCACCAACGCCTTCCTACCTCACACCCAAAGGAAAGCAAACTGAGAACCAGAAACTTCTAAAACTTTGAAACTCTACTTGAGCCTTCCACTTGCTTCCTGAAATCTTTGCCCTTTTCAGTATTTCTTTTCTATCCATTTTCTACTGGGGTTCACAGCTCGGTACTGACAAAAAGAGTTAATCTTAAAACTCTGTTCCATCCATCCACTCGACCATCTGTCCATCCGCCATCCATTTACCTACCTATTCCTCAATGGCTTCCATAAAAGATTGAAGATCCTTAATGTTAACTCATGTTGCTACCTCATTTTATTGATATTTCTCACAGGTATTGTCTCCTCTGTAAGAGAAACTGCTTTGGGGGCATATCAACATTTTTTTAGGCTAGTATGATAATAGAAAAGAGAAGCAGGTGATTAGGGAAAGAGAGCATTCAGTACTGGTAAACATTCATAACCAAAATTCATTAATGAAAGAATTTTTTAAAGACTTTTTTTAATGTTCAAGAATATATTTATGGATTATGAATTTTTAAATTTCCAGAGGCAGTTGAAACTCACAAAGAAGCTAGGAGTAGAAATTATCCACATCTTATAAATAAGAACATGGAAAAAAACAAGGGTCAAGTGATTTATGCATGGGACCCAAAATTCAGCAACCCAAGCCAGGATTTAGAATTCCTCACTGTGACTTTTGTACTAAGATTATTAAGCTCAGCTGCTGCCTTCAATATTTTTTTCCCATAGACTAAGAAAGCATTTTACTTTGGCATTTTTGTAATATGGCACCATTTATAGCCGTCTTCGCCCACAATAACCTAATTAAACAACCATCTTTAGGGCTGGCAGTAACAGCCTGGTTACCAGTGGTTAACGGCTGAGTCAAAATTTGGGTTATGCCATGTTTTTTTCTTACATTTTCTTGACTTAGAAGTTAAACCATGCTCACATTTCCAGTATAGCCAAGGTTGTATCTTTCTGGCATAAACACAAAATCTCAGAAGAATAAACATTTCCGTCACCAAATCCCCTCTTTTATCACTTTGAACAATAAAGCAGCCAATCAAATGATTCCACAAACTCGTAGTATGTGATTTTTTTTTCTGTTTAGACCAAGGTTTTCCAAAGAATGATCTAATCCATGATAGGCTGACAGAGAATAAACCCTATACTAAAAAGAAAAGTAATTTATTTGCTCTTTGTGCCAAAATACTTCAAGAATAATGAAAATACAGAATTCAACTGTAACTAGGCCTAAAGAAATTTATTTAATATACTTCAGAAAGCACATTTAGAAATATCACAAAAACAAGCATGTTAGCCACAAAACAGAAATTTATTTTAAAAATCAGTCTCTTGTATTTCAGATATACAAGTATATCTTTCCCAGAAGGTGAAAGCACCTCTTCCAGAAACTACTCCCAGCATGGTCAATACTGATTTCGAAATTGGTTGCTTAGGTCTTGGAGCTCTATTACTAAGGTGTCCATAGCTGCTATTTCATCAGCTAACTCCCGGGAAATTTCTCCACTGGCCACATCTGTAAAAAGTTGCTGCAACATAAAAAAGCAGAACTATCAAAACAATGAAAATGTCTTTAAAATAAAATAGATATAGAGTATAGAATTAAAATTCCCTTTGTATAGCAATACCATAAAATTATAATAGCAATGGTAGCATTTTTTCTGTTCATCATCCTGGAAATGTACTAGCTGCAATAATGAAACAACGAATCAAAACAACATGCCTGAACTTATAAATTCAAATGAGCTCTGCTCTTCAGAGCAGTTGCTTAATTATTGGTTATTCATTTCAATGATATAGGGTGGTTTTTGGATGAACAGACATTATTCGACCAAACCAAACCAATTTATCTATTGTGTATGCAAGCAAAACAAATATATTTTATATTCAATTCATATAAATTATACTCTGCTACTTATTTGAAAATTAATTTTGGTTTATGCCTCAAAGACCACAAAGATTATCAAGATTTGGCAAAAGCAAAAACACTCAGCAAA